TCTCCTATGAGTTTCTTCCTTGCTCACTCTATATTAGGCATACTGACCTCCTTGCTCTTACATGTTGCACATGCTCCTAACTCAGGGCCTTTGCACTTGTTGTTCTCTATGCCTGGAATGTTCTTCCTCCAGATTTCCTCACCGTTCCTTCTCTCACCTCCCTCAAGTCTTTGCTGAAATTTCATCTTTTCAATGAGGCCAACTGTATTAGTTTCCTTTGCTGCCTTAATAAATTACCACAAATGTGATGGCTTAAAACAACACAAACTCATTATCTTACAGTTTTGTAGGTCAGAAGTTCGGTGTGAGTAACACTAAACTAAAATCAAGGTGTTGGCGGTCGGCATTCCTTTCTGAAGGCTCTGGGGAGGATCCATTTCCTACTCATTTGGATTGCTGGCAGAATTTAAATTATTGTTGTTGTAGGACTGAGGTCCCTCTTTCCTTGCTGGCTTTCAGTTGAGGGCCATTCCTGGCTTCTAGAGGCTTCCTGCATTCCTTAGCTGGTGGCCCCCACCACCACCTCCATCTTTAAAGCCAGCAATGACAGGTTGAGTTCCTCTCCAACTTCAAGGCTTTCCTTCTTCTTTCTTCTCTTCTCTCTTGCTGAACCAGGAAAGCTTCTCCACTTTTAAAGACTTATATGATTAGATTGGGCGTACCTGGATAATCCGGGGTAATCTCCCCATCTCACATCTGCAAAATTTCTTTTGCCATGTAGGGTAACATATTCCCAAGATCCAGGGATTAGGGCAATTAGGGCATGGACATTTTCGTGGTGGAGCCTTAAACACATTAAAAATCATGACAATTTAGTAGAGTTATCCAGTAGGAGAACAACTAACTTTGTTTAAAAACCCAATTCAGGATTATCCACCCTCCCCTATGGTCAGAACTTGCCCAAAACCCAATGCAACATGAACCTCAAGTTATTAGTTGTGTCAGTGATGATTCTTTCCATGCTCAGGGCCTTTAATGAAAATTCCCCTGATGCCAGCAACTGGTGAGTGGGGCAGCTGTGTTAGGTACCTGTGACCTTTTCTTTTCGTCACAACTGATTGGAGTAGAAAAGGCACTTTAGGAAAGGCCACCAATCCTGTGATTCTTTGATTAGAGCAAAAAAGACCTAAGAGTAATGGACAAACAATGATAGAATAGTAACTGATATTTTTCAGAGCTTGGTGTATGCCAGGCTTGTGATGGCTCCTTCCTGATCGCTACTCTGTGGGCACAGGTGCCCCAAATCACATACATACACATATGCCAATACTCACAAGACCCTGTGATGAAGGCACTCCTACTAACCAACAGATGAACCCAGGTAGCCAATCTCCAGAGTCCCCACTCTTGCTATTGCCTCCTAACTAGCAAGGAATGATTCTAGAGAAGCCAAATATACGTTTTTAATGAAAAATTCCTTCTTTCCTCCTTTCTTAATGACTGGAAGTATATATGCATATAAATATATATATATACATAAATGAAATAAATTTTAAATAAAGATGTCCTATAGGTCATTCAAATATTATGAATGGTATTCATTCAGTAATATTGGCATTTGCATTAAAACAGGACTACACGTAAAAAGAAAAAGCACTGTATTATACAAATGTCACAAATTTCTCTGGACTACAAAATTTGAATAAAATTGACAAATAAACACATATCATCCTCATCCTCTAGAGATAGATGCTAAACGAGGTAGAGATAGATGAAATGGTTAATATTTACTCAACTTGAAAGAGTATTTAAGGAAACATGTATTTAAGGACACCCCTTAGTTCTTGATTTGGGTTATAGATTTTTGATTAGGAAAATCTGTTCATGACATAATATCATATATGTGGGTATATGATATCCACATGACTTACCACTGGCGATGTTAACCTTGATCATTTAGTTAGGGTGGTGTTTTCCAGGTTTCTTCGCTGTAGTTACTATTTTTTTTCTTTCCATATTCTAACTTTGGATATGAATCATTATGTTCAGTCCACACTCAAAGGGATGTTTTGTTTACTATTTATTTTGAAAACATTTCAGACTTCTAGAAAATTTCACAGACATAGTGTGATGAATTCTCATATATACTTCATCTAGATTGGCCACTGATAGCATTTTCCATATATACTTTATCAATCTCTCTCTATACAAATCTACATATTATCGCTATTCGTAGAATTCTTGTTTTGACTGAATCATTTGAAAGTAAGCTGTAAATAACATAACCCTTTACCTCAAGTACTTCAGCATGTATATCCTAAGAACAGGAGTTCTTTTATAACCACAATATAATGATCAATTTCAGGAACATTAACATAACATAATACTATTATCAAATATGTAGCCCAGCATTTCTGCTTTTGTCTATGATGGAGTATGTGGTACGAGCCCTCTTGCCTTTACTACAAAACTAAACAAAATGTCTGAGGCAAGTATTTTCAGACATTGGAGAATGAGCAACAGCAGACAGGGCAGGCAACGAGAGCCTGGAATCACCCCGTGAAGGCAGGGAAACCTAAGAGGGGAGCCTCATGACGCCTCTGGCTCTCTGCCTGGGACAATTTCCTGACTGCAGTGCAGCAATCTGGAATCCAAGCGGAGAAGGGCAGCCCCTCTGAGCTGAGGGCAAGAGACTGGAGGTTGGGGCAGCTGAAGTGCTGGACCCTGCAAGGCAGGGGCCCACAGAGGCGGGAGCTGTGCCGTTCATGTAAACATAATCATGAGTTCATACTCATACTTCTAATTCTGATCCAATATCACAAGGCTTCCCTAGTCTTCTCCTATTCCACGTTTCTGGATCTCTTTCAGAAACCCAGTCTGAGAGCAGACTGGCAAGGTAAGTCTCCATTTTCACCATCCAGTCTCCTAGCCGAGGAAAAGCCTGCCAGTGGGGACGTGAGTAAAAGGGGGGACGAGGAGCAACAATCACTGTGTGAAACTCTGAGAACTAATGATGGAAAGCTCAGGAAATAATGGATTTGGTGTGAGAGCGCATCAAACATAAATAGAAATTTAGGGGGTAGACAAGCCCATTTGCCTTCTGGAGCTCCAATCACTATATTCTTTAACTAAAATTCTAAGTTTTTCAGTTGGAATTTATTTTTAAATTAATTCAATAACTACCTCTCACTGCAGCTTCTTTGCTCCTGAGGTCTTTATTTCGATTCATTTCTTTGTTGTCTGGAGTCCATCTTTCAGTAATTTTTCCAAGAAAAATTAAATTTCAAAAATTTTTCTTGGAAAAATTTTTGGTTTCCCTTGATTCAACGATTCTCAAACTGGCTGCATACTCTAAGGACCTTGGGAGCTTCTGAAAACTACTGACTTCTGGCCATCATCTCAGACCAATTCAATCAGGTTCTCTGAGGGTATGACCCATGCAACAGTATTTAAAAAATAATATTAATAAACTCCTCATGTAGGTCTAATTTGCAGACAGATAAATATCTCCAGTCTCAAAGAAATTACATAAACAGGCTCTCTCAGAAAAAAAAAAAATTAAAAGACCAAAGAAAGTTGCAAGCAAGTTTCAAAGAAGCAGCCTAGGTTGAGAAGCACTGCTTCAGTTCTTTCAGATTTGAAAATGTTAATTTGTTGTCTCCATACTAGGGATTCCTGAGATAAGTTTTTAAAATTGCATCACATTTTAGTTCCCTCAGAACTTTAAAATGCATAGGAATCACCTGAAAATCTGGTCAAATGCAGATTCTGCTTCAGTAGATATGGAATGACAACTGAGATTCAGCATTTCTAATAAGCTCCCAAGTGATGCCAATGCTGCAGGATCATGGACCACATTTCTGAGTAGCAATGGTATAAACCTCACTCCTCTGTCTTCGGTGAATACTGCGATGGAGGAATCTGGAGCTACCTGAACTTGACCTTTTTTTTCCCTTTTGGGTGGCTTGATTCTTCTTCCTGGATGTCCATATGATTATCTTCTTATCTTTGAAATTCAGATGTAGTTAGGTTACACACGTTAATAAAGTATAGAATGAAGAGTCCCACACTGATAGTGCATTTGCTTCTGATCTTTTTGTTTGTTTGGTTTGGTTTGATTCTCATGCCTGGGAGGCCCAAATCTACAACAGTTCCAGCTCTTTTTGAGGACTTCTCATAGGACTGACATGATGCCTGGCCTACTGGTGGATGAGATTCATGTTTCCTCTTTTGCACATTCATTCTTAAAATAAAATGCCCACCACTTGAGTCAACGGGAATGACTTTGTTCCTTACAACAAAAAGAAATTAATTAAAACAATTAGAAACCACAGATTTTAAAATGTACAATATGAAAATAAAGATGCCACAGAATGCTATGACAAAAAGCCACATTAATGTAGAAACAAAATGTACTTACGGTGACAGTTGGCAAAAAGGGAGGGAGGGGCAGAGAAATTTTCCTATTTCAATGTGCTTCTTACAAGCCATTATTTGAACTAGATTGATTGACAGAGAATAAATAAGAGAAAAGGTAGAAAAGTTATAGTGCCAAAAAGGAAAGGAAGAGAGAATAAAGATTAAAATATGATGCTAAAGTATTCTGAAAGACTTAAAACCAATTAAAAGCTGAAAGTTGAGAAATAAGGAAATCTTAAAGGAATAGTAAAGCAAAATTTTAAACCAGGAGAATTACAAAAACTCATCAAACAAAAATACAACATGAGCTATAAATTAAGCTGAATAAAAATGAGAGCAAAATAATAAAATTTAAAAGGAAAACAGAAGGTTATAATAGTTTATTAAAATTAAAATAAAAATGAAGTTGGTTATGAAATAATTTCAAAAAGATGAAATTCAAAATATATGAAGGTTGAAAATCAACAGGGGAATGAGGAAGATACATATTAGGATATGAGATACTCGTTTAAAACATGAGAGTAGAACTAAAGATAAATATAATTAGATTATATTTTAGATAATAGTATAATTAGATAATTTATAGAAATTAAAAATACGATCAAAGTAGAAAAAAATTAAAAGTTTAAAAGTTAGAGGAAAAGAAGAGAAAAATCTCTTGAAACATACAAGGAGGAAGAGGGCTTGGTGCTTATCCACCTTTCCCCAAGAGACAGTATGCTAACGAAATACTGGTGTCTTGGATGGAACCTGAGGGGACAGAGAGCGACGTGACACCTTGTGGAGGCTCCCCCCTTGCTCCCCTCAGCAAGTGCCACCGGCCAGCCTCACCAGCAGTAATAAGAGAAGACAGATGGAAGGTATTAATACAGCAAACTCACAGCTGGATAGCACCAACCTGACCCAGGAGAAACTCCCCAGCCTGCCAGCTACATTCCCTCTTGGATTATCTCCTCCAAATTTAGCCCATGCGCAGAGTCAAGGGAAACTACTCTCTCTAGTTCAATAACCTGTGAAGCATCAGGTGTCAACAGTTGTCTCATGGCTCTAGAAAAATGTTTTAGGAACTGAGGTACAGCCCCCAGATAAAAAAGGCAGTTATTCCATAAATGTTGACTGGGCATCTTCCCTGTTCCTGGCAGCGTACGAGACTCCAGGAATACAAGGATGAATGAATAGCAGAGCTCCCTTGACAGAGATCCACATGCACCGCCTGGAAAGGTTAGTGGAGTTTTAATAGATAGTTTTGGTACATTAGCCACAGCACAAACAGAAGAGTTGGCTCTGAACAGGAGGGCCACCTTTCCTTCTGCATTGTAGGAAAAGGAAGTTAGGGTGTGGGAGGAGGTCTGGAGGAAGCATCAAGAGTTAGGAAGATCATGCCCGATGGGCTGAATTTTCTTGACGAAATAGGGGTTTTCCTGACAGTAAGGCATCTGGAGATAAGCAGGGGGAGAGAGAGGTCTGGGAGGGTCATAAAAGAAATTCGAGAAGGAGGTAAGAACAAGTAAACAGACTGATACACAGCAGCGAGGGCCAAGCGGAGGGTGGAAGTGATGCCAGTCTGATAGCAGCAGCGTTTGGGTGTCCAGGTGTGGGACACACACACAGTTAATTACAATACAGTGTCAAAAGTTCTAGCATGACAGGGTAATTTATTGAGACATTAACCTGTGCCTGTTGTCATTTCATTTTTCCCTCCATCCATTTTCAAGACTGACTTCAGGGCTATTGGCATCAGGGAAGTTTTGGGTTAAATTCTTCAAGGAAACTTCCCACCAGGCCTTTTTTTCCCCCTCCTTTAAAGCAGAAGTCTCAAAGTGCCTTCCCCAGGCTAATCCTTTTACACACATGCTTCATTTGTAATGAAGACTGTTTTCAAGTTTTTTAAAATAGTTGCCAACATTTTGAAAGTAGATTTCACGTTAAAATCTAAATTTGAGCTCTCTTGGAACAATCAGATGACCTGGCTACAATTAGGTGGAGCTGAGTAAAGTCTGTCCCTTTTAAGGGGGCACAACCTCCAGTTTACAGTGGTCCCTACCATTGTCTATGGTCTTACACTTAGCCAACATCACTCATTTGGGTTAAATGCCTGGTCCCTGTAACCCTCTCTAAAGCTGGAGATGATGTCAGGAGGAAGGACTAGAGGCAGAAGCAATAAGGCAGTCAGGTTACAGGTCTGTAGTTCCTTGGGTGTGGAAAAGGCTCAAAGGGGAATGGGGACCCCATGCCCTAAGGCCTGGATCATCCAGCCTCAGCAAAGACTCCTACCCAGAGAGCAGCAGAGGACGCAGGGCTAGCAAGCAGCAGCCTCGGACACTGACAATTACCTAGGACAGTCTGAGAATGAAGTGGTCCTTCCCCTGGGACCTGGCATCCCAGGTCCTCGTGAAATCCTAAAGCAGGTGGGAGTGGGAGAGCCCACAGTGACTGAGATTATTTTCCACCAGCCATTGGGGAGGTGGTTGAAGTTAGATTTAATGAGAGAAAATCAAGATATGCATCATTTCATGCACACACCCATTTGTGGAATAAGATTTTAAACACCCAAGTAGAGAGTTAAAGAGCTAAGAGAACACAAGGCGAAAGAGTGGGTGAGGTTAAGTTTTGACTAAGATAGTTTTGGACAGTTTTCACAGAGGAGATGTAATTTGAGCTGAGTTTTAAAGTGTGAATAGGAGGCCTCCAAATGAAGGTTATTCCACCCAAAGACAAACATTTGAGAGTACAAACCACATTCAGGAACTTGTGGTAGTTCAGTGCAATTAGAGCATTAGATACCCATCTTCTGGTTGGGAGAAAGGAGAGAAGGGATAGAGTGGAAGGACAGTGACACTGCAAGGGAAGGGTTAGGCCTTCACACCTTCTTCATGTAATGGGGAGTCCCTGACTATTCTGTAGTATAGTATCCTTTAGTCTGGTGTTTAGAAAGTTAATTGTGCTGGCAGCGTGGCCAATGCATAGGGAAAGGAAGATTGGACAAAGGTCACTGAGCAGGTTCTTGCAATAATCCAGGTGAGAGATAATAAAGCTTGGAACTAGGGCAATGATTATGGGAATGGAGAGGAGGGTTTGGATTTCAACAGCCATTTATTGAGTGTTTGCTGTCTGCCAGGCATTGTGCTAGATGCTAAGCATACACTGATAAATAGATACTAGTTCCTGCCTAGAAGAAGATCATTGTTTAAGAGACAAAGGTTACCACACCTGGCAGAGCCAGTCAAGTGCTGAAGCATCTGGAATCTTCGAGCCTTAGTCACATGCGTTGTGTATTCCATCATGGGTTGCACTCAGAGAGTCCCACTCAGTTCCACACAGGTTCAGGGGCCATCTCAGAGCTGAGATAAAACCTTTTTTGAAACTTCTTCTTCTAGGCGGCTATTGTAGCTTCTTCTCTCCTACTCAGGGGGTGGAGAAATGATCAGAATCTTCTTTAATTTTAAATTTCAAAGAAAGTATTTCAGTTAAGTGAACAATTTTTTTTAACATAAGAAGTTATAATCATTTGGACTAAAGTGAAATTGATATTAACTCTATTGTTAGGGGAACTCTATTAGTGCTTAGATACCATATATATAATTTTATTGCAGCAATAAAATTCAACCTGCTTCTAAATCACCCTGCATCTTTTCCCATCCGCAGGTACGAGATGCTAACTGCCTTTGTCTCCTTACCATTTGTTGACATCTCTATGCCACCCAGTGCCTGGGACATAGCAGGTGCTCAGTGAGAACTGAGGAAATGGATTCACAGTATGGAAGGTGATGCTTTGAGAAGTTGTGTGCTGTTGTCTCTGGAAACCCTCAAGCTGAAGTACTTGCCAGAGATATTCATTCATTCATCCAGCAAATATTTACTGAGGAGTAATACATGTTTATTTATAAAAGGCAAATAAATATTTATATATTTCTATATTGCAAGGTATTATTTTGGCACTGGACAAATGGCAATGAACAAAACAAGGTCTGTTCATCTTAATGAGAGAGATGAACAATAAACAAATTATTTGTATATGTGTGTATACATATACACACACTATGTTAGGGGTGATACCTACTATGAAGAAAAATAAAACAGTAACAATAAAGAATGATGTTGGCAGGGGGTATTTTATATATTGCCTATGGGCTGCTCAGGGAGGGTCTCTCTGAAGCAGTGGCATTATAGCAGAAACCTAAAGAAAAGGGGTGGTGGGGTTTGGAATCAGCCATCCAGACAGCTGGAGGATGAGCGCTGCTGGCAGATGGACAGAGCAAATGCAAATATTCCGGGAAAGGATCAAGCCTGTCCTGTTGGAAGACCAGTAGGGAGACTAGCATGGTTCCAAAAGGGTAGGGGAAGGGGAGCAGGGATAGGAGGAAGGGCAGGGGACTGATGGCGCTGGAGCCTCAGTCCCTTCACCTGGCATTCTTCCCAAGAGCCAAGGAAAAAATCCAGGGTAGACGAATACAGTCACCAGTCATCGTAAATCATATCGGTGGGCAAATGCCTGGGAATTTGTGAGGCTTTATTACCAGTTTTAAGCACCATGATGGGTGATGAATTTGCATGGGTCACTGCTGTATGCCCAACATCTGGCACAGAATAAGAGCTTCATCTATATTTGTTGAGTGAATGTCTGAAGTCTATCTTTGCTTTTTCAACTTTCAGAATATTAATAATAACTAAACTGTCTCATGTAAACAGCCTAACCTTTGGGAGGTAGGGGAGTGTTACTCAAACTCAACCTGTAGGACATTATGCATACATATTAAAAGGCACCCAAACAATGGATTGGGCAAGTGCTTTGTGAATGTCTGTTGGCTTATAGCAGCCTGTCTCCAGGGTGGCACTCACTGCACCCTTTAGACTGGAGAGTTTAGCACACTCTACGATGTCTTAGCAAATACTGGCACCTGACCTGTCCAAATATCACTGGCAACGCCTGAGATGGCCTTTCCATCACATGACCAGAATCATATTTGCAGGGAGTAGGGGTGCTTCCATACTTTTGTACACCCCCGGGGTATACTCAGTTACCGAAATGTCATCATCAACTCCAAACTCCTCCAAACTAATTATTCATTTTAGATCGTTAATAAACATACATGCTTCCGGAAGTGTTACAAATCAAATAACGTTATCGTTTCAGTAAGTCAAAGTGTGAAACTTCATCATTTTTCCCGAGGAGTTTGTAAATAATTATTTTAAACGTAAAAAAAAAAAACCCATCCCTCAGCCCCTGGCTACGTTAATTTCCTTCTCTTGACTGCACCACGCAGAACCCATCAGCGGCAAACAATCACTTATTTTACCTCACACCTTGCACGGAAAGTCCCAATATATTTTATCAAAATTAAATAAATTCCTTAGTGCTTAATCAGTCGGCATTTAATTTGCAAAAGTGAGACCAGTGAAAGAGGCAATGCCTCCATGAGCCGGTACTGCGACACCTCTTCTGCCCAGATCACTGCTCTGCATTCCCTCCCCACCCCCACCCATCGCCGCGGGGCTCTGCAGTGAGTCTTGGCTAGGGACCAGGACGGGCTCAGGGTCTGCCCTGCGTCCGGGCGCCACCGGGTGTGTGACAGCGCCTCACCCCCGCCCGGCCTGTCACTTCCCCCGGCCGGGGCCAGCCCAGGCTTGAAGGTCCCCCGCCCCCAGGCCCTCCCGGGCAGCTGTCGACCTTCCTCTAACCCGCGCCCAGACGGGCTGCTCGGAAACTGCTGTGTCAGAACGGTTCGAGGAGTCCGGCATCCCGGGCAGCTTTAATTCGGGAGGAATGACTATCTAGGGCCGGCCCGCGAGACGCCGCGGAGCAGGGTGTGGCGCAGCTGTGGGGAGGGCACGTCCTCATCCCCGCCTGGCCACCCCGCCCTCGGCCCGGCCGCCCCGCACCTGGCCAGCCTCCACAGAGCAGCCCGCCGACTGCCGGGGCCCGCGGCCCGGCGCGGGGGGGCGGTGGCGGGCGCGGTAGCGGGCGCGGCGGCCAGCGCGCGTGCGCGGAAGGCCGCGCGCCGGCCCCTCCCCGCCCCCGCCCCGCCCCCTCTCACGTGCCGCGCAGCGTGCGCCCCAGCATGTGCGGGTGCACGTGACCGCGCTGCGTCCGGCTCCGGCTCCCTCACCCCGCGCGGCTGTACTTTGAACCCGGGCGTGGGAGGGGGAGGGGGGGGAGAAAGGGAAGCGGGGCGGGGAGGGGACTGGAGGGGGAGGCCGGGCTCCCGGAGAATGATATCACCGGCAGATTTATCGCTAGGCAACCTAAGAATGCCTCTCTCTTTCCAATCCTGGAGCTCCTTGCAGATCGCGAGGCTGATGACATTATTCCCCCCTGCTTTAATCCCGCCACCAAGCAGCGCTCGATCGGCGCTTTAAGGAGCGAGGGTGGGTTTACCAATTTTTAAATGAGTCCGTTTCAAACACGGAGCTCAGAAATAGGTCCTTTATCACTCCCACTCGGGTCTGCAGAGCTCTCCATGGGTGCGGGCGTGGAGTCGGGTTTCTCCTCCTGTTGGGTCCTACTCGGATCACACAGCCACCTTGTAGCTCTGCCGATGAGTCTCGATCAAAATAACATGAACTCGAAAACAAAGCTCTGCTTAAGGTATCGTGGAAGGAGAAGCTGGTGTCGTTAAAATGTTACAGGGAATTTTCTGATTAAGTAGTTGAGATCTTCAGGAATTGGAGCCAGGGTGAAGTCCCCCTGTTAAAACTAATTTTCAAAACACAGTGCGGAACCTGTAAAGCCGCACATGGAAGCAAAGTTTATTTCAGAGCTGTGTGGTGGATACTCAATACCTCCGTTGTGAAGCATTTGATATTCTGTGTACACATGTGCATACCCATATGTAAAAGGCTTCAAATTGAAACGGCAGCTAGAGTTTACAACACCCTAAAAATACTCCATATAAAAACTGTAGCAAATCGCCCTCTTTCCTACTTCCTCATCTGAAGGTTCCCTCTGTCCAGCTTCCTAACTTGCTTTTTGATCCCCTCTTTTGTGGACAATCTCTTAGAGTTGAAACGGAACCACCCAGGTAGAGGGGTGGAGGCAGAGGTGGAAAGCTCACCAGATCACATGGAGACTTCCAAACCTGGGAGGGCACATTTCTGGATGTCTTCAAATTGAGTAGAAGGCAAAATTGTATGGTTCTTTGTAGGGGACCTTGAAAATTGTTTCTCCAGAATTTCTCTATCTTAAGTATTGCAGGCACTATGCCATCATTTAGGCACGCTATTACCGTGACGATCTTTCCTTCTCCACCAACAATGTATACTCGCCTGTTAGGACCTCACACGGACTAGCTCAACTCCTTCCATGAGGAAACTTCAGCCTGTGGCCTCCTCTTTACTGTTACTATGGGTTGATAGTATAAAGAGCAGTGGACTCAGAACCAAAAAATCTGATTTCAATCCTGGTTCTGCTACTTACTGAGCTGTGTGACCTTGGACTAGTTGCTTGCCTCAGCTTCCTCCCAGAGGGTTTGACAAACAGGCCTTAGGATTCCTTGTTGCCCTCTAAGGCTTGTCTCTCTCTCTCTCTTTCCCCTTTGGGTACTGAGTGGAGAACATGGATCATCATGCCCTTATTTGAAGGGAAAGAAGTCACGCTTAGTTTCTTTTGTAAGACAGGTGGATGAATGAGGTGAGCCAGAGCTGCCTGTGAGGGATGTTTGTTCCCCGCTTCTGCATTATATACTATCACGCTATGCATGCGATCCTTTGCAGTAGAAAGTACCGTGACTCTCAGTGCCAGCTCATGGTTCAGATCCTCAGGAGGAGACGATAGGGAAAGCCAGTATGGCAGTCAAATTCTAAAGAAGCTGAGAAGTTGGGAAATCCTTACTCAGACCTCAAGTCGAATAGAACCAATTAAACTGTCCTGGTGCTCAGTGTGCCACAGTCTTCTCCTTGGAGATAGCCCCATGGGCTTACTCTCCTGTTCATTCTGTAAAATGCAGCTACTTCTCAAGGCCTTCTCTGTCCCACCCGGATGAAGTTAGCAATCCTCACCCCCCCAGTATTGTATTCACCCCTGCATAGCACTTAACTATGTTTATTTTAGTGTGCGTCTGTCATCCCCACTAGACTTTGAGATGCTTAGAGATTATTAATCTTTGATTCTCCAGCTCTTACCACAGTACCTCACGAAGTAGGAGCAAAACAAATGTCTGTATCCCCTTACCCACTATTTATTGAATCTGTAGGCTCAAAGAGAAAAGGAGTGTGCTGCAATCCGTGGGGAGCCTGAAACCTCTCACCAGAAGGTTTCCAATGGGTGTGTCTAAACTCAAAGGCAACCTCTAAACTCAAAAGCACATCCTCCCTGCCAGTTCCCCAGAATGGTTTTCTGGACCTGCCACCCAAGATGTCCAAAATCCAGCGGTGGAGGAGATTACACACCAGAAGCAGGGTCCAGGGTCATCCATGAATCAAAATGTCAATCAGTTTTCACTAATGACCCTTGGTCTCCCATTCCTATCAACCTGAGAGAAAGAAGTGTTCATTGAATCAAATAATTTGTTTCTGGCATGAAAATTTCTTTATTTTGTGGTTAGCTGTGGAATAAAACCATTAGTGAGCTGCTTTTTTATGTAATAAAATGATCAAAAATATATAAAGTATTTGAAGGCTTTTGCATTAAGTGTTCTGAGAGGGAACATTGCTGAGCATGTCAAAGTTAAAAGAAATGAGGAAAAAAGGTTGGAAGGAGAAATGTGTCACTGTAGAAACATTCTACAAGCTCATACAATTTAGAGAAGTACCCTTCAGGTACTGTTAAAGCCTATTTATTCTAATTTTAGACACATTTCAAATGGGTGTGGTTTTGGTTAAAATGGTTGCACAGGCCATAGTAAGTCAGAGTAGCAAATTAGATAAAAGTTGGAGGCAAGCACTCTGACACATCAAGAAGTGACAGCTGGCAGCCGGAC